AGGGTATATGTTTTACTGTCCTAATCATAGTTCTAGAATCGTTGAGACGGGCAATGATAGATTTATTGAAAATGGTGAAGTTAGTGGGAGTGCTAAAGAGACTGTGGAAATTAATGAAATAAGGGTTGATGTTCCATTACCCATTAATGTTCCAATATCCACAGTTGTACCAAATATTGTTCCACAACCACAAAATAATGGTGGACAAAATTTGGATGAAGTAGCACCCCATGAAGAGACTAACTTGCCACCAACTAATATAAATGAACCACGTGGAATAGCATTAAGCAAACCTACAAGGGTGAAAAAATCTGCTATTTCGGATGACTATGTGGTTTATTTGCAAGAGTTGGATTATGATACTAGCATTGATGAAGATCCTGTTTCGTTTTCACAAGCCATTAACAGTGACTTGTCTCATAAATGGATTGATGCTATGAAAGAAGAGTTAAACTCTATGGCTAAAAACAATGTTTGGGATCTAGTAGAATTGCTGGAAAGTTCAAAACGAGTTGGGTGTAAGTGGGTCTTTAAGACCAAACGCGACTCGAGTGGCAATATCGAACGACATAAAGCTAGACTTGTTGCCAAGGGTTATACTCAGAAAGATGGCATTGATTATAAGGAGACTTTTTCACCTGTTTCAAAGAAAGATTCCTTGAGGATCATTATGGCTTTAGTAGCTCAGTATGATTTAGAGTTACATCAAATGGATGTGAAAACGGCCTTTCTTAATGGGGACTTAGATGAGGAAGTTTATATGGATCAACCCGAAGGTTTTTCCATAGAAGGAAAGGGTCACATGGTGTGTAAACTTAAGAAGTCAATATATGGACTTAAACAAGCTTCCAGACAATGGTGTATTAAGTTTAATGATACCATCACGTCTTTTGGTTTTCAAGAGAACACTGTTGATCGGTGTATTTACCAGAAGATCAGTGGGAGTAAGTTTATATTTTTGGTTCTATATGTTGATGATATCCTACTTGCTGCTAATGATTTGAGAATTTTGCATGAGACTAAAGATTTTCTCTCAAAGAATTTTGAAATGAAAGATATGGGATAGGCATCCTATGTGATTGGAATTTCAATATTCCGGAATAGATCACAAGGATTGTTGGGGTTGTCTCAGAAAGCATATATCGAGAAAATTCTTGAGAGATTTAGTATGAACAATTGTTCACCAAGTGTTGTCCCATTACAGAAAGGGGACAAGTTTAGTCTTATGCAATGTCCTAAGAATGATGTGGAACGAAAGAGTATGGAATCAATTCCATATGCTTCTGTTGTGGGCAGTTTGATGTACTTGCAAACTTGCACGAGGCCTGATATTAGCTTCGCTGTTGGAATGCTTGGTCGATATCAAAGTAATCCTGGATTGGATCACTGGAAAGCTGCAAAGAAAGTGATGAGATACCTTCAAGGGACGAAGGATCATATGCTCACATTTAGGAAATCTGATCGCCTTGAGGTGATTGGATATTCAGATTCAGATTTTGCTGGGTGCCTTGACAGTCGCAAGTCAACGTTTGGCTATGTTTTTCTCCTCGCTGAAGGGGCAATTTCATGGAAAAGTGCCAAACAATCTGTCATAGCTGCATCTACTATGGAGGTTGAATTTGTGGCTTGTTTTGAGGCTACAATTCATGCATTATGGCTGCGGAACTTTATTTCGGGACTTGGGGTTGTCGACACCATTACCAAGCCGCTGAAATTGTATTGTGATAACTCCGCAACAGTTTTCTTCTCCAAAAACGACAAATATTCCAAGGGTGCAAAACACATGGAATTAAAGTATTTTGCCGTTAAGGAGGAAGTTCAGAAACAAAGAGTGTGCATTGAACATATAAGAATGGAACTTATGATTGCCGATCCGTTAACTAAAGGTTTACAACCAAAGACATTTAAAGAACATGTACATAGAATGGGTCTTGGTTGTATTAATGATTGATTATGATGATGTTATAGCACACTCTTGAGCTCATTGATGTTATGTTTCTGACTATTATCGAATTTCTTGTTCATTATGATTTTGTATACATTATGTTTAGAACAAGAAATGAATGTCTTCATGACAATTAAGTGGACCTTATGATATTT